GGAGCCTTCCATAAATGAGGGATATTTGTCAAGAAAACATCCAGTATCCGAGCACCTCTAGTAGGTTTCCTCACGATTTGATCAAAGTTTTGCTGAATGCAAAAGTCGTGCATGCGCAGTTGATTTACATCACCAGCAATAATTATTTTGGCATTAGGTTGCAATAACAGAATCTTCTCACAGTATTCAGATAAAAAATTAAGCAAATCAGATTCGTTGTAAATTGGCTCAGGTGGATGATACACTACAGAGACGCAGTATGAACTATTCATAGTGAGAATTTCGCACCAGATACATTCGAAATTGTTATCGAGGTCGACATTGATAATTTTCCAATCATTTCTACACAAGATGGCAACGCCACCTTCGCGATCCTTACGAACTATAGTATAACCACTTGGACATACTAAAGTTGATGGGATGTACTTATGAAGCCATGTTTCTGTAATAAAACATACGTTTATATTGTTATGGAGAAGTTCAGCTGTCAATGCTGGTAGAGCATCAGGTTTGACCAATGAACGGGTATTAATGACCATACATTTTGGAGTTATTTTAGCTTGAGGGGGTCCATCTTTGAGTATCTTAATTGTCTTCAAATTACTGGGGTTACTTCTATTTTGGTTAAGGACCCTTCTAGAATTTCTAGCAGTAATTCTAACTGGTATCGAAGCCGTTATACCATAATGTATTGATCTCGTGTTTTTACTCTTTCGAGATGTTATTCTTATTGGTATTGTACTAGCCATTATACATACGTTGAGGAATTTCCCGCGGGGGTCTTAATATTCTGCTGCACGGTAGGATTTCCCTTGCGTTCATTTTGAACCCATGGCTTACAGCGAACATGTTTTGGCCAGAAGTTTTCTCCAAGTACGTCTGAACTAGAAGCCAAAGGGATAGAAATCTTGGCCGAAATTGTGCCTCTACGTTTACTTTGGAGAGTGATAATATTATTTGGGGTTACATTTCTATTGTTAAGGTATGAGTAGATTTGACCTTTATTAACAGATTCAGCGATGCAAGAAACGAAGAATTGTTTGTATTTTTCCTTCTTTTTACGCTCAACTCCGATGAAACCTTCTTCTGAATTATTAGGTAAAATTGCTTGTGAATCTTTTTTTGCTTCCTCATTGTGGCCGGGAGAACTATATTCAAGCGCGTTTATTAATGCAGGATTTAATTGTACGGCATCAGCATAGGTGTGCTTTTGTTGACTATTCAGATGGTTGAGTCAATAATTGACGCATTTAGATTTATATTAAGGTTTTCGTCATAGCTTAAATCAAAAGAGTTTTCTTTCAAGTAGGGAGTGCATTCTTCTATATTGTTTTCACTTGAAATCATTAATTGTGTCAAGACAATAGGGTCTTCGGAGTTGCCGGGATTTGCATGCTCGGCTTGCTTAACATCCTCTAAAGGGACTTCTTCGTGTTCACTAATATCGTTGTTATAAATACCCTCGTATTGATTAAACAATTTGGAAAACCAGAAATACTGTATCAGCGCACTGAGGGTAATCCGGCAATTACTTCTACAACTATGTTCTGACAATCCTTGCACGCATAGTCCTTGAACTGGGAAGGTAATTTCTACCTTGTATGCTGACCAACGTTTAAGGCCACTTTTGATTTTTATACCATTAAGTCTGATAATTGCACCACCAATGGTTCTGGTATCTCATCATCATTTTTGTGCTCAACTTTATAACATATAATAATATTATATTCTTGTTTATTCCAGAATTATCACACAATTGGGACATGCACCATTTATCACAAAATTGGGAATTTGGCATTTGTCCTGACTCACCCTGGTTTAATTTCTCAATTAACCCCTAGAGTGACAGCACTCTCCCTTGATGAGTAAATTGTCTGGCATTTGCTGTGTTGGTGTAATGTACTCAGGTGAATAAGATGCTTGTGTGATGTTACACTGAGTGTATATCCACACCGGGCAGGCTTGAAAAATATGCCTGGCCACGGTGGGATTCGAAACTACGACCTTTGGAATACTAGCCCAATGCTCTGCCAACTGAGCTACGCGGTCAGATCGGTTCGAGTATGCGATATTTCGGAACTGAGTCTAGTTCCTTCGATATCAGTGTAATCTAATAATCATGATATTTGCTGTGTTGGTGTAATGTACTCAGGTGAATAAGATGCTTGTACTAGCCCAATGCTCTGCCAACTGAGCTACGCGGTTAGGTCGGTTCGAGTATGCGATATTTCGGAACTGAGTCTAGTTCCTTCGATATCAGTGTAATCTAATAATCATGATATTTGCTGTGTTGGTGTAATGTACTCAGGTGAATAAGATGCTTGTGTGATGTTACTCTGAGTGTATTTCCACGCCGGGCAGGCTTGAAAAATATGCCTGGCCACGGTGGGATTCGAACCTACGACCTTTGGGATACTAGCCCAATGCTCTTCCAACTGAGCTACGCGGTCAGGACGGTTCGAGTATGCGATATTTCGGAACTGAGTCTAGTTCCTTCGATATCAGTGTAATCTAATAATCAAGAAATCTGCTGTGTTGGTGTAATGTACTCAGGTGTAGGTCGGTTCGAGTATGCGATATTTCGGAACTGAGTCTAGTTCCTTCGATATCAGTGTAATCTAATAATCATGATATTTGCTGTGTTGGTGTAA